TTCTTATATTATTTTATAAATAATATATATATATATATATATAATTGAAAATCAATTAATTTAAAGTAAAGATAAACATATTTCTTTCTATTTTGTTTCTCTTTTGTGTGTCCCCTTAACTTTTCATCTCTATTAACTTATTTTTCGAGTCAGCTAGACTCATTATACGGAACACCATTGTTCACGCCTGGAAATGCGCGGTTATTTAAAAATCGATTTCATAATAACTTAGCATGTAAGTCCCTCGTTACGACTAGTCAATTGCCTCTTTCAACGCAGCTAATTGCTCTTCGCCAAGCTTCACCTTGTCCTGTATCTCGCGACCGTCCACTATCAGTTTCGCCTTCATGTTGATGAAATGCTGGTAGTCAGCAAATTCTTCTTCATTCAGGTACTTTGCTAGAATCGCCGACATATTCACGCTACGTTTATCGATATTGTTCTTCAAAATCTTCGCTTCTTCTAATTGATCCATTAGCTTGTCCCGTTTGCTCTCCAAAATTTTCTACAAAATAACAAAATTAATGTAAACAAAAATTTATAATTATATACGTATGTGTCATTGCAAAAATGCAATACTTAAAAATTTATAACACACACACACACACACATATATATATATATATAAATTAAAATAGATACTCTCTAAAATTTTTTAAGTAAAATCTCATTCTTATAAATTGAAAATTGAACCATTCTTTTGAAGGCTGATTTAATTTTCATTCTTTAAAGTGAGATTCCACTCTAAAGAATTTTGAAAATAAACATATCTACAACGGACAGATAAGAAATATTTGCAAGGCTCTATTAAATATCAGAATAAATATCGTTATTACTTGCAATTGAAATTATACATTTATTTTTACACATTTTTATACGCGATAATTCGATTTAATGTATTACATGATCTATTATCAAATATTTATACTGAATTACGAAATGTATCGTAATCGGTAATTATATCCCACATATAATTAATTTTAATTGGCGACTGAAGAGCGCTCGTAAGAAAACAAAAAGTTTCATACTTACTCTCTCTGCATGGTCGGCCGGCATTCCATAAAGGGCGTTCTCAGCTCGAGCCAACCTACCACTGAGACCGAGAAGAAGACTCGTAATCTTGCCGACTTCCTCTACGTGATTCCGATACTTGGACGCTTCCGGCGGGCGAGCCACAGCGGAAACGCGAGCGGCGACTCGTGCACCCAGAGTCTCGTTCACCTCACCTTCCTCTCTTACGGCCTCCTGCTCAGCCCTGAGAACCACCAGCTTCCTGTCGAGGCGCATCATCAGCTCCTCCTGAAAAAAATCATTCATAGTTCTAGAATAACACGCACGAATCGATGCGATACTATGGGAACGCCGGTACTTGTTGCTACGAGATTCGACAGATCAAGAAAACACGGAGATGTCTAATAGACGAGGTAATAATTTGCTATGCGAACAACTAGTTAGGTAACAGTCCAGGCTTAAAGATATATGATAAGTAGAAATTCCAAAGTGCGGCAATTACATTTTACATAAGACCAGATTGTACTCGGAGGCTGGATGAAACGATACTTATTATCGTCTTATCTTCGCGTAATCATTATTATCCCTCCGCTTAGGAGCCCCGCGATCACATACCGATCAAATTTAGTCGCAGGCAACCATAGAGTTAATTATAGTACATCCTACAAGCGTTTAATTATGCTCCGGTTTGTGAAGTACCTTTTTCTGCCTAAGGTCAAGGCTGTTCGTTGATACTACCGCTGGCGCATCCTCTTGATGTGTTAATCCTTCCGCCGTGACGTCCCGCGAGTATCTCGTCAGGAACCTCGCCTTTCCCTCGGATGTCGTGAAATAAGCTGAAGTGAGGGATAAGGGGCTAGTAGAATCGGCCGACAGTGGCGTGACGGGAGCTGAAGGTATCGTTTCGTGTCTGAAAAGAATTTATTATGATGATTACACCTTCGGTTGGTTAATACGGACTAAACCGGACCGTATTTCTCTCTCTCTCTCTCGGTATTTATGCAAAGATATAATTGTCATCATTGCGAGAAGGCAAGAAATTGCGTCAATGAACGTGAGTCACGATTGAATTAATCTCAACGTTTCCGAGGCGAGGCAGGGGAAACAGAATGATTTGTGAGTGGAATGTTTTGCAGCGTAGAATTCGCGGTTTATTTTCGTAATCAACCTCAATGATGAGCAATAAAGTCATACACGTGATATTGAATAAATTCTCAAAATGGACAGAAAACGCTTAACGGGATGTTAGTTCATAATCCATAATTCATAATCCAGCTGCGATTGTTATCAGTTAAATGACACATGTACGATCTTGTACGTCTAAGTGAGTCTACAAAAGAAGAGAAAGTGATAAAGAAAGGAAAGCGAGTTGTATCGGACTACACACTATTAAAAAAAAATTATTCAATTGTGTGATTTGCTGAAAGTTACTTTCAAGATCAGTTAAAAACGAAATACCGCGACTAAGAAGCGGAAGTGAATTCCAATGTAATTATCTCTTCAATCATTATTTGCATGTGTATACCGGGTACGTCCGAACGAAATTGTCGCGATTTTATTGCTATCTAAAATTGCTTTCGAAAGTGTCGATTTTTCTTTCTTTCCACTGTAAAATATGGTAGAAAGTTCGGCACATACAGCTAAAACTAATTTAACGTAATACGTCAGTTTCTCCCTCGTGATTTTTGGCCGATTCTTAAATCGTCGGTAAAAATTTTACCATATTCTTGAGCACACTTCGTTTTCATACGAAATTCTAATTTACAAGTTGTTACGTAGACTACGAATTTTTGATGGCACTTAGCGCCTAATACTTTAACGTTCAAATATAATAAAAACAAAAGTTGTATCTACTTTTCTGGAGGACCCATTTCCATTTCCCGTACTTCGCAAACACGCCGAACACTTTGCTACACGATGCGTCACTTTCAGCCATATGTCGGAGACTGGCAAATAATATGATGCGTAGAGAACAGGCACGAAGTAGTGCTTGACAATATCATTTATGGCGGATTACGTAAGAACCTCGATGCTGTGGCACTTTCTCTTTGAGTACGGAGGAAGTATTGTCCGTGAGTGCGCAAGACAGATCAGATCGACGAAAAAGGGAAGAGTCGCAACGTCATAAAATTAAATAACAATAGACAGTAACCGTGAAATGCATTCGATGCGATAATATAAATATATTGTCAAACCTAACAATTATCTTGAAATACTGAATATAAAAAAGATGTTTCAATATTTTACGATACGATTATGCGTAAGACATCTCATTGTCAGTCGACAAAGGAAAAGACAGAATGTTAAACGTAATGTTACAAAATAAAGAAGAAATCCGTCTGCTCTTATTTGTTTGTACAAGATATTTTCGTCTGTTGCTACTAACGATTTGTTACATTCAGATGTTTATCATCATTAGAAAACAACAATTAGATTCATGATAATGAAAGTTCATTAGTGACGTCTGTCAGGAATTTTGTCGTCTACGTCCACATAAACGTCGTTCGTAGGATAATAAATAGTCTCTACACACGTCTGGCAAAATGAGATATTTTCGGACGTGTGCCGCCTTCTTTTCACACGAAATATCGTGTGAACGGTATACACGTTTGTCTGGCGTTCTGCCAAAAAGATTGACGCAGATTTATTTTATCTGCAGTTGCGACCACACAGCGCGCGAATGTGTGCTCGAAGAAATTTAAATGACAGTCAGCAAATTGAGCAAAAGGAGCTTCCACTTGTTTATTAAAATTATACGGCTCTTCCTAGACATACGCGTCGACCAATTAAGTCAAGTAAAGAGAATCGCGAATTTTTTTGCACTTATAATGAACGCCTTCGGATTCCGAGGCATTCGAGTTGATTAATAGCACGTAATCCAATGCTCGCGAGCACGTGAAAACTATCAATTATCGCATTTGGTCTATATTTACGTTGTCTTATCTGCCTTGCCCGTAACAACAATCTTACTGACCCTTGCGATGCAGTCGGATGAAGACAACGCGCGTGATATCGGCGCGGCATGAGCTGCCTCATAAATATGCCTTAATTAAGTGAACTTCAGTCGAAAAAAAAAAAAAAACGAAGAAAAAGAAAAGAGAATAAGAAGAGCTCACTTTTTATCGTCCACGTCCGCGTCGTCGCTGCAGGAGGCCGTTGACTCTTCCAGGGAGAGCCGTCGCCTTGTTCGTGGCTGCAAGGTCGCCTCCGCCCTGAACAGGCCGGAAACGTAGTCGGTGGGTTTCTTGTGCTCCGGCGCTGGAACTGATAAGAAGCAAAAAAAAAAAAGGGACATCATCAGGCGTTCTCGGTACGCGCGTTTCCCTCTTCGCACAGTTCGTTTCACGCTCTAGGGATCTCCGCGTCCTTATGGAAGCCATAATACGACAAGGGATTGCATCGAATATCGCGACGACGGCATATAATTGAATAAGACAGTGTCGTGTCGTTGATTAAATTAGCGCTTATTAAAACAGAAGGTTATTGCCCTCGAATGCTTGACTCTATACCGTGTCCCAGATGATACTTGTGCGCGCGCACTCGCGAGTATGTATGCATTATCCGCGCGTTCAAGCAAGGTTAACGTGTATATGTGTGTGTGTGCGTAAAATAAGCGTGCGACAGAGTAAGTGTAACGATCATATATATGTCAGCGTGAGTTCTGCGTTAGCGAACGCTATTTAAAAATTAAATAACATATCTAATTGAATCAATTCCATTGGCATGTATTAATGGTGACGTAGAGCAAATAATAAACTCAGCAGATGAACGATGCTCTTCAGAAACCATTACTCATGCAATTGAAACAGTACGATGAAGATAACGATAAAAAGTATGCTCACCGAGTATGGGCACCAGCTTGTCGTTGGGGCTGAGTTGACTGGCTAGATCCTTGCTGAGTTCTTCGCACTCGATCTCCTCTGGTAATTTCTTCCTAGATTCCGGAAGCGGCCGTTGAATTTTGTTGGTGCAATCTTGCTCCGTGTCCTCCAAGATATCAGTTTGCGAAGCGGCGTCGCTGGTGGCCGCGTTTACCCGAAGCACCACCTCGGTACGTTGCACTAACGTTAATCCTTCTATACCCGGCTGAGGCGACACGCAAAGCGACGATCTCGGTGACGACTTGTCCTCCTCCACCGGCGAATTTCTCGGTGAGGAGGAAGAGGATGCTTTGGAAACGCTTGAGATCGAAGACGTGGACGATCTGCCGCCAGTTCTAAATTTCGAAGACGCGGAAAGTCTCTCAATTCGCGATTCCGTATCGCTCGTTTGACTCAGCCGGCTCGGCGAGTTGGATCTGTTCCAGGAACCTGTATTGTCCGTTTGAGTCGGGCTAGAGACTTTTCTGTTAGAGGTATATTCTATCCGAGCTTCGTTCCGCGTGAGAGAATCGAGAGAACTTTTAGGAGATGATCCGGACAGCAAAGCTCGAGGCGATACGCGAGCATCTATCGATCTTCCTGAGGAAGAGGTGCTCGAGCAACTTCCTGATCGTCTTGGAACAGCTCCTCGTGGACTACTAGTCTCGATATTATTCGGTGATCTCGGTGGTGAACTCGTCGGTGGTGGTGGTCTGTCGGAAAAGAGGGTAGCTTCTATCGAGTTCTGTATTTCGTGTTTTCTGGCCCAACCATTATCGTAATTTGTGGCTATTGACGACGTTGTAGTGCTGATAGAGTACGTGGATATCGTGCTATTCGACATTGATACACCACCCATCCTCTTTTCATTACGGCGATTTAATAATTCAATATTCTGCGAGGTCATCTCGATCGTAGCGCTTCTATCACGAAAGAAGTTGTCGCCGGTAATTGGAAGCGGACCACTGATTTCTCGTAGCTGCTTCTGCAAGTAAACGTTCGAGGTAAATTATTTCATGGAAAGTTCAGAAACAACAACACAGCATAATGAGTAAAATAAAAGTGAGTAAAATATTTTAAAAGGTTAATTTGCAGCACATAATCGTTTGAAGCACGTAAACTAAAACGAATGTTAAATTGTTAGAATAATGTGAAGTAAATGCCAAAGTAAAGTGACGAGCGCGTTATGCGAGCTCTACAAGAAATTGAATGCTAGAGAAGCGTAAACTGAATTTGCGCGTCCTTGACACTACTATATTTACAGGTGTAAAAATAGGTAGACCGTTGAGATGCGAAAAACACGTAAATATCGCTATTACGTGAAGGTAAATATCCGGAGATAATCTCACCTCTCTATTTTGAGGTAGGGGCTCACAGCTCGCTGCCAACTTCCGACGTTCCCGCTCTAGCTGCCTGTTTCTGTCATTAAGAACCTCCACGCTTTGAGGCGATAGTCTTTCTCTACGTTGTTCATAGTCGTGTCTTTTTTCTGGGTGCCTTTTTTCTTGATAATGATGATGGTGATGCTGATGCCGATCCTCGAGGTTGTCGTTGTTGTTATTTTCGTTAGTGCGAGACCGTACATCGTTAGCTTGGAGCTTTTTGTTGAGATCGTGCGAGAGTTTACTGACCACCTCTGCTGAATGTTGCTGTTGTTGGGAACACCTCTCCTCCAATCGATGATGAAGAGCGTCCACGCTGTACGATTTGGAGAGATCAGAAGGTTGTTGTTGATGATTATTGTGATGATGATGATGCTGTTGTAATGGATGATGCGGTGTGACACGTAAAAGTACGGGATCGTCATGATCCCTAGGAGGCGGCCAATCGTCCACGCGTGAGGTTGGCGACATAGTTCTTTTGTAGCTGCCCTCGCTATCGGGAGCACCACGCTCTCGTTTGTAAGCCAAGTAGGAAGCCTTAGACTGGCTTCTAAAACAAAAAAATATTTTCATATAATAAGTACATGCGCAATTCAATCAGTGATAATGTCGACAATACGTAATTTTAAAAAATAAAATGTTTGCTTTTTGTTTTATCACAATTTAAAATGCATCAACGCATTTTATGATGATGCTATTTTTATAACTAATTCTTATGCACAACTGCAAGTAGAAATCCAAGGGAAATACGGCGTATACAAGTCACTTGGATATTAGTCAGTATGTATGTGTTGCATACATTTAAATCTTCTCTAAAATGTTAGACGTGATAAATGGAATCGAATAAAGCTATTCACATTACATAATTCCAGAATACCAATTCTTAGGTTGAATGAATAATTGCAGATAAAATGTTACATCGTTCGCTAACGAAATGTTAAATAAGAAATATTTTGAAACGTGCAGTTATATAAAATATCGTCAATAGACATAGACTATCATACACGTGCGTGTATATATCTGATATTTTCAACGTAACATAATTACCTTATAATACAAAATATTTTGTCTTACGATTCAATATACGTAAACAAAGATAAACGCGCGAATATAGCTTAATAAACCAAAAATGAATTTCCAAGAGATATCTGACACAAGATCGCTTTATTGTTCACACAGATTTGCACAATTATGGCAACACATCTTCAATAATTAATTATGCGATAACGTTGATTAATCGTCGGTCAAAGTCATAAATATGACTACATTGAGATTCATAGAAATTAGCAGCGAAAATAGTTTAATCGAGACCGAACATGGTATTGTGTTATGAATTTTAATTCCTCAGCATACCTTTACGGTTTTATTAGTTTCTCACGGGCTCCTGTATCTTTCATAAGCAACCGCAAGAATTCTTACTTACCTTGAAACGGTTGCAACGTTGCGTGAAAGCATAACTACGCCGGCGAAGTATCTTCGCGTTAATGATGCGATTTAATCGTAATGATGATCTTTACATAAATTTAAATGTAATATCATTTATGTATCTGAATACATTGTGTATACATTTAATTTCAACACATCGCTTTAAAATCAACTCGGTTATGCCTTAATATGATTTTCTTCAAGACACGCGACAATGCAGCTATAAAGTATGAAATAATACAAAGAATATCTCCCCCCCCCTTCTCTCTCGCGATCTATTTTCCTGTTCTGTCTTGTGTAAGTAGAAGTTATGAGCACGCGAGACGCGATCTACCCTGACGAGCGTTTCGTTCCTGCTACGGAAGATAGAGATCACCGAAGCGAGACTAACATTCGCGACACTGACATTGCTGCATAGCCTCGACGTTTATCATTTTTGAGCATACGATCGAAGGTTCCCTCGACTTAATCCGAAGCGTGCACGGTTGTGCGGTACTGATTTTTCTTCTTTAATCGGATCACATTGAAATGTCGTCTCTGTCGCGATATCGTCCTTATGTTCATTGTACTCGATTTAAGCCCGTCCATATTTATGACGACGTAACACGTAATGCCAGATCCTGCTCATGGGCTTACAAAGTCGTATCACTATAAAACGTCGAAATTATTATTCTTATAACAGACAGCTTTAGATGTTCTTGATTTGTCGCTATCTTGATCGAGAAAAAGAAAACTAAATAGTAGAATAATCTTCCATAATAATCGCATGTGTTGCATGAATTTTTTCTCGATTGAGTAGAAGGAAGACACTTTAAGATTTACGGCACGAAGAAACTTATTTTGACTCGGTCGCCCAACTTCAAAAGCGTCCTGCTTTCATCTTTGGAGATTGACATGATTGTTTTTGCGTAAATTGTTCCGGCTTACATTGCTTAAATTTTATTTTTCTTATCGCGTATGTTTAAGAGGGAAATGAAAGTTTTTACCGTAACAAAACAGTTAGGAGAGAAAGGCCAAAAGTAAAATTCGTGTCCGAATTCTAATCACGCGAAGTCTACCGCAAAATCGTATTCTGGCACGTTATTCTCGGCGCAATGAAGAAATCGTTTCACGAATACGATAAAACCAATATGATAATATGACACGTGACATTGCAATTTCAATATTCATGAAATGGCATACAGCATTTCCACAAGAAAAATGACATAAATTGAGATATTTTTAAATTTTGTATATGTGCGAATTATGTTGTAAATATTAACATCGGTCTCTCCTTAATTAGAAAAAATAACACACAAATTGAATTCAAATATTTCTCAAGAAAAAATAATACTTGAAAAAGATGATGTAAATTAAACTAGGGGAATAATTTTTATGAACATTACATCATAGCAACATTAACTTCTACATTATTACTTATAGAAAACTTGAAACAAGCAACTTGTAATTAGCTTTTAGTTAACGTACATTTAATATTATCGCGATAAATAATTAATTTAAAAATTAGGTAATTTTCTTTCCTCTTTCTTTAACAATTTTAAATGTTTTACGTATGTACCTTTTTTTTGCATTAATGCAATATATGTAACCTATTTTGATTTAAATAATCGCAACTTGCAAAGTGTAACAAGAGACGCTTTTACAATGCCGAAATATGACTCAAACCAAATAAGCGTTTATCAGCATTAACTGCATAATGCAATTTTATGATATGTTATTCATAAAAATGTATATGACATATAGTACATATTTTGTAATTTGATATATCTACGTGTACAGTATGAGTGACTACATAAGATAACCGTTTAGATAAAAATCGTTATTATAAATCTTCTTTTACGATTGTTTGATATGCCATAATTTACAGTAAATATATGCGTATACAATATTAATGCGCCGTTATTTTCGTGCGATACTTTTACGAAATCAATCGAAAAAAATGTGTCTCACAAGTGCTTGCCTCGCCGGATTGTATATATCCCACAATTTTAAGCTGTCGGTTGTAATGAGGCTCATTCATAAAATAAGTAACGATCCTGTCCGACGAAGAGCAATGAGTAGCGCACGCGAACACGGGGCCTTAAAAGTTACATCGAATAACGCTCATATGTAATCGGTACATGCCCCGAACGCCTTTCGCGATACGTGCTTCTTTCTTTTTCGTGGCCGATTGAACATGGAGAAAGATAGTCATCAGTTTAAGATAAAATGCGTGTACAAACAACGAAAGAAGAAAATAAACGTGTGTCGTGCGTATTGCGAATATTATACTTCGCGACTTTCCCGACAACAAAAATATGTTCCTGCGGCACTCCCTTGAGAGTAAAAATCGCCGTGTTCTTTACATTTTTATTATCTCTAACGGTTGTATATCTGTGATGTTAACACATGACTAGATAAATACAGCGAGCGATCGCATCAACAGCGAATTCTGCGCTGGCGCACTCAATGAGAATATGAATAAGTAAGTACTGCTTAAAAATGTAAAATTTTAATAAATATTTGTTCGAATAGTCCTAAGTACATATTTACTAAATGTAAACTTATATTTATTTTGTACAAAAACTATTAAATCCTATTTTTTTAATTTATTAAATTTTAATACATATTTTTGAAATATAATACTAAGTAAACATCTAATTATAGCAAAAAAAATATTGACTTAGTGCTATTAAAAAAATATATATTAAGGTTTAATAATTTTTTTTATACAAATGATAAAGGTACATGCCTAACGATAGCACAGCCGCAGGATAGGACGCAAGTAATTTATTATGCTGAGATGAGAGAATACGGCTGACCGGTAGCCAGTTTATGTACTAGTATTTCACGATAATTGATGACGGTGTTGTATTCGCCCTAGCACTCCACGCTCGTCTCGTATCACGCCTTAACAACATTGTATGCCAGATAAATAGCTAAGTGTTTATCAATATAGTCACCCGGCGTGCCGAGAGGACTCGATAAGAAACTGTCAGTACTGCCTGCAATGAACGTTTTTAAAAATAATTTCGCATCTTCAAGTGCTATCGTTTAAAAGTAGTGATATATTCGCCAAGGTATACTGCGAAGCGCGATAAGAAAATTTTTCTCTCGATCGTTTGCTATGATTCACAAATAATAGTCTGACTATTTACCCGTACGTGTACATTTCACGAACGTCGCGGTTAAACAACATTCCGTAACATCGTTCTTCGTTTAGTAATCTCTATAGAAATTTTATATCGAATATATATTTGTACTCCTCTTTACGAAAATCAATTACACCGCATGTTGATATACTAACAGAAATATGCGTCAATATTTTATAAAGTTCGATAGGAGTGTTTTCCGTCTGCGATATTGATATGATTCACCTAAGCGTTCAATATACGTGTAGCTATAACATTTATAAATACGTGCAACGACGTGCATACCGCCATTATAAATAAAATGCTGTATACACTTCGTTCGGCATCTTAATTATGCGAATGAATCATGAGCCGTTTTAATTAAGATCAAGATATGGTTTTTCCTTTCAGTTTCATGCATAAAACTTTATAACATTTAGATGTGCACATCTACAGATTTCTGTAGATGTGCACACGACATCCACATGTTACAGCGGTTACAAATAGAGCCCTTCCTTTGGATGCTAGTCACTTGACGCTACAAATGCTCCGAAACATTTGACTGACCAATCAGAGGATAGAATGTTATTAATTGACCAATCAAAAAAAGCTTTGAAGCATTTGTAGCGTTAAGTGGACCGTAGTCTGTCCGACGACTTAATCGTACGACGGCTAACGACGTGCTTTCATTGATATTAAGAAACAAGGCAATTTTGGTGGAACGCGAGCGAGAATGCACAAGCATATTATATCGTACTATATCATTCGTAAATATGCGTCCTCGCTTGATAGACTACATAACGATAGACTACATAGCGAACATCGATACATCAATACAGTTGCATGTGCGGTGTCTCGTATTCATTAGGGCAGATCTACGATCAGTAGACACCGATCGGTCGGGAAAGGCGATCGGTCATTACGACACCCTGATAATTAACTCGAGGCCGAGTTCGACTACGGGCACGTATATTTCTGCCCGCCGGTGTACGTGCGCGAATTAACCGCGAGAGAG